GTGTGTGTGTGTGTTGGGGGGGGGCTGCACCTAGAGACAGAAGTAAAATGAGCGTTAAAATTGCCTCCTCAGTTTGGTGACTTTCAAAGCTTGAGTTGTCCCAACTGCGAATTTACAGTCATTTTCATACACCGATTAACGATTTTCAGTTAAAGCCACACAGAAAAGTATTTTTTAATTGACATAAAAGGAGTTGAGCACCCACCCCCACCCTATCCCACCTCACCCCCAAACAATTTCCAAGAGGTCGAGAAATATCGGTTTCTCTGATTTCATTATTTTTGACGAGAGCCTGTTTTACCACGATGATACTCTATAGTACGATCAAAAAAATCATGGTGCAACTTATCCTTAAATATCTCTTTAACAGGTGAATCAATGTCATCCATACTTTGCACAGCAGTATATATCAATTTGTCTTAACTAAATCATATTGTTCCAGAACTATTGGGGCTAGAGTAAAAAACTTTTCTTCATAAATTTATCTAAAATACTTGAAATCTCTGTGACGTGTAAAATGGTATTGTTCAAAGCACTTCCCGCTTCTCACACACATTTTGATTTCGCATATGGTCTAGGTCACAGCTCATCAAAGACAATTTTTACTTGCAAAACTTGTTACAAGAAGTTATTGTTATTGTGAACACAGTTTTGCACTAATGGCTCTCAAAACATGCGTTCAATAAGCATAATGTCCCGATTAGAAAAACCTGACGGACTTGCTATTAAAAGCTATATTGCCCCAGCTGTAAACATTTTAAAATCTGAAGAAACCACTCACTTGGATTTTTTAATTAGTGTTTATTAAGGAATTTTCTAGAATACAGCTTGCATGTGTTTACAAAAATGTTAATCTGTTAAGACAAACTGATATAAGTAACTGTACAAAAATTGGAGAAGTTGATAGTTGAGGAGATATTTGAAAATAAGTCGCACCACGAATTTTTGACTGTACTATAGTATTATCGGGCTTTTCACGTCTTTCTGCAGTGATCCTGTATACGGGAGGGCTCTCGTGGTCAAAAGGTTAGGGTGTTCGCCTTTCATTCAATAGGTTCCGGCTTCGAAACCTGATGGCGACGGAAAATTTTCTTCTGTAAAATGTTCTCCTTTCACCTCCGTTTCTGCTCTCTAAACATGTTCTGTTGTCTTCTTTCATGTCCACTTTCTGCTCCCAACCCCAGCCCCCTTTGCCTCCTCCTATGAGCTACTGACTCTTTCTGCAGTCTTTCTACTGCTACTTCTTTCTTACCCTGCTGTCTTTCAGCCACACCCCTGATCTTAAGGTTGGTAAGATATAAAACCTAATCTTTTCGGATAAGGGCGAACATTCTCGGAGGACCCGTGTGCAAGTTGCGCACGTTAAAGATCCATTGGATGTCCAAAATCGATTAGAGTAGGCTTCGGCCGCCACCAGGGCAAAAGTCAAAATGAATTTCAACTGAAACATAAATGTATAATGTGTCCCGATCGCCCATATGACCTTATGCAGTTGCGAGCGCCGTAAAACATTTACAAAATAAGAATCAGGTATCCCGCTCACCTGGTCAGACAGGGCTGATGTAGGGCTACATATTGACTAGTCACGAGTTCCTTGACCCTTCCTCGCGACGAGATGGGGAGGGGGTTGCATTGCTGAACATCACACTAGCTGTCTCCACCTTTGCTACCTTGGCAAGGATTTGGAGACATTGTGGTTGTGTGCGATTTTTTTCATTGTGGTTGTGTTCATTTTCTTGCAGAATTATCAGCCCCTTTACTACATGATGTTAAATCCGTTAAGAAGATCGTGAAGCATTCACAAACTAATGAATCCTTATCTCAGATAATTTTTGATAAATTGTATTCACCCCAGTGATCAGAGTACTTAGGTAAAAGATCGTAAAGAACAGAAACTAAAGACCAGAATAATAATAATAATAATAATAATAATAATAATAATAATAATAATAATAATAATAATATAGTAAAACTTAATACCCCCAATGTCATCCGAAAAAAAAGATGCACAAGTGACATATAATTTTGCCACAAGGGACTGAACCTCCACCTTGTATATTTTAAGTTTGATTTTAATCTTTCAACAGGGCAGTCTTGAATATGGGTTAGGGAAAGAGAAGAAGTCTTGCCAACAGCTTCGGTCAGTGTTTTCGAAGACTGATCATGAAGTCGAAGATCATTTTAAATCCCGTTTAGATAACCCTTAAGTGTTTTTTAACGGCGCTAATCAAAACGCCATTCCAGGCTTTATGTTTACAGTCTTCACCTTGCACGCTAAAGAGTGAGCTCAGCTCCCATTTGAGGAGGTTACTTGATAATACTTTTTTTGTTGCTGAGCTGCATCACACTCGAGCTTGATTGACCGGAGCTGAGAGGACAAAAAAGCACTCCTCCAAAATGATTGGAATATGGCCAATGGAAACATGAAAAAAGGATTTGAAAGGAGAAATAAATAACCCATTTGAAGAAGCATGAAGGAATGGTCTTCTGGCAGGTTTGGTCTGGATTTTATATTTCTTGTGTCTTACGAACTTCAGCCTAGATTTAAAAAAAACAACCCGTTGAAAAGATATTTTTAAAAATCAACCTATTGACTGATGACCCTATTAAACTACTGTCATTAGAGACACTGATAACACAATGTGTGTCTGTGTGTCTGCTGTCATACCAAGTGTAACCACCTCTAAACGACTTCTGACCACGTGTGAATGTGCCTGGATATCAGCGGACAATTATTGTTAGCGCTATCCGAGGTGCGAGTATCGTTTCATACAATCAACCTGCGTGTGTCTTGGTGTATGCTGTGTGTATTTTGTACCCACAAAACAAGTATGTGCTTTTAGTGCCTCATAGAGCGGCTGACAACAGTCAGATGGCTTCGTTTTGAAAACCATTTCAAACATTTCGTTTCCTCTATACACAAAAGTAACAGCGTCTGTGGTGTAGCGGGTGGGTGCCTCGTTTCGAATATGGCAGAGTATAAAAATATGGGTATGTGGAGTTATTGGTATAATCTTAAAACGCGTACGTTTGTCTTACTTTAGATGAAAATACTTCTCATTTTTCTTTAATAGAAGTCAAATGTTTGCCATTGAAGGAAGAGGGTGTCGCGTGACTTCAAAGGTAAAATTGCCGGAAAAGTTTGATTACTTCTATAAT